GTTGCTTGTAAATTCGTATTTGATTAGTAACTGTCTGATATTGTGGGCAACTGCTCGGAAGTCTTCTGGTTCTAATTTGAGCACCCCAGTATAGTAATTTATTAATCCTATAGACCATTTACTGCCTTGATAAAGTTCTCGCCGTTTAGTGTAGTTTTGATTGGTCGTTCGGTTCTCGCCAAAATCTCTGCTCGCACTTCATCGACTCTTTCTCAAATCAGAGTGCTGGTCTTGTTCTCCATTATGCCAAGGTGTTCATACTCTTGAGTTCCTTTGGGCCTCAGTATTAGTTGCTGACTTTGTTGGATTCACGTCCAAATCTTTCCAAATACTTCTTCATTGGTTGTCTGCAAGTAATCTCGTGGCAATATTTAATTATATGACTCGTGCCACACATTTCGTCCTTAAACTGTAAAGGTTTCATATGCAGTTATTGGCCTGAAGTCACCACATCTTTGAAACATCTTTAGGAACCAGATACGTCTTGCTGTTGTGAAACCATAAGTCTTGTTCCTCCTTATCCAAGCAAGTTCGCCTAGTTATTTTGTACAGATCTGATGTAAGGAGATGCACTTCTTAATGAAGTTATAGATTCCATTTGGATCCGCCGCCTTGCAGTTGGGCAAAAAGGGAACATTCTTCTCAAATTCTGCTTCAGATGGGATAATGTACTTTAGAATCTGGGATGTATTCTTCCAGATATTCATTGTGCCGTTAATCATCTTCCTCTCCTATTTTCAAATTTAACATCATGGCCCAGAACTCTCTGATTTATTCTGTCTTTACATTGGGGCTAACAGGTTGTTCCTCAGTTGGTTTTTTATAAAAACGCCTTCTGAACAACTCAAATCTGCAATTTGAATTTTGAATGCACATCGGGCTTCATAACTTATTATTTTATTTTCATAAGCTCCCACACGTCAGCATGCTCAAGGCTTCATGACAATCACGTTTGAGAGCAAGTATGAGATTCATGCCTGTCATAAACTTTCTTGCCTCCTTCAGGTTTTTACCTTTTAATTTTCTAAAAGAAAATCGCTCTATGAGGGTTTCCTGGAAGTTGTTTACACTTATCTTCTTTGCTGTGCTTGCCTTGTACATCGATGCTCTTTTAACGCCTTGTCATCTTTTCATAGCATTGCTGTGTCATCTGTACTGCTTAGTGAGATCAGTAATTGACTTCTAAGGATTCTGTATAGCATATTCACCCGCAGCTTGATTTACCGTTCCAAGTATGAGTGGGTTAACTTTCTCCGAGATTATTTTTTGCGTCCACTTTGTCTAGTCTATCCCATGCTTCTTGCATCAGCACATGGTATTTCTCTTTTACATCTAGATAAACCTTGGACTAGTGTAGCGTGAGCATGTATGTTGTGCACGTTTCGTTGACTCGTTCAACGGACGTTCTGCGATACTGGTCACTGCAGTATTCGCTCGTTTCTTCAGTTCTTTAAGGCTAATCGCGCACACAAACTTTTGGTAATACAGGGGACGACAGAAGAGCCATCTTCTTTTCAGCATCCTCCCAAAACGGTCAAGAACTGCCTTCAGCACTTCACCTGGCAAGCTGCTTTGCGGAACTTCAATTCCTCAAATAATAACTTCTAGCGTAATCATCCTCCTCGTCTCGGTAAGCTGACAGAGTGCTCTCTTACATCTTTCACGGAGCTTTTCACAACCTGATCTGCTTTCCCACTGTTTTCTACCTTGATTCCAGATGCGGTTTTTCCCCGTTCATCTTCCATTTTCTTCTCGGACTTTTGATATCCTGACTGTACGACCACACAGCACTCTTCGGTTTCAAACTCGTTTTGAACTAGGCTTTTCTTACGGTTTACTCGTACCATGCGTATTATCATTCTCTACTTTCTTTTCTTGCTTCGTTTTCGTTCTTCATTACTTCAGAAGTACTGCAATAAGAAGTTGCAAGCATTATTGTTAGCCTGTTGCTTCTTTTCGTTTCTTGAGATCTCCTGTGATGTGGGAAGTCCTTCAGAGACTCGTTTTCAGCCAATAGATAACTGATTAATTTGGATGCCGGAATGTGTCTCCTACTACTGCCTTTTCCACTGTTCTGGCGTCGTTGGCTGCTGATACCATTACATTTGTTGTTGCAGCTGCTCGCGCTTTTAAGCACCAACCTCGAACTTTATTGTCCTGGAAATATCTTTGAGAA